GGTGTGGTTCATTTGGAATGAGCACTGGCCTGTGAACTGAAAGGTCGCCGGTTCGATTCCCAGTGAGGGCACATGCCTGGGTTGCAGGCCTGGCCCCTGGTTAGGGGTGTGCAAGTGGCAACCAATTGATGTTTCTCTCCCTCTTTCTCTCTCCCTTCCACCACTCTCTAAAAGAATATATAAATCTTTAAAAAAAGATAAGGAGACAGAATCTGCTTCTAAAAATTGGTTTTGACATTGAAAATATTACAAATTCTAACTAAAATAAAGTTTAATCCATCTTAAGCACTTCAAATATTTTAGTAAGGCAATAAAATGGTGTTTAATTTATTTGCAGATAGAATTAATAAAATGCTTCCAACTAGAGTACTACTTTAAAAAGAAGATTGCTTTAAAATATATCAACAACTAAAGTTATAAAATGACATACTTATTTTACTAGAGATGTTATACAGTAACATTACACATGCAACTCATGAGAATTCAATTTTTCTTCTATATTTAAAACTGTATATTTTCTGCTTATTTCACCTGATTACATTTGATGGTACAAATACCATACTTGAGAAATGTCTTACTGGATTCTGGAAACTTAACATGTCCCCCCAAATTACTTTGGTTTTGGCCATACTCTAAGGCAGGTTTGTCATAACTTGTTTAATAGACGATGTTTAAAAGGTTCTGATTCATAAAAGGCAATTCTGTACCTAAAACCAAGAGCGAGTTTGGGGACTAGGTTTTAGTCCCCAGGATGGCGGACTAAAGTGATCATCTTTATAGAAGCCCAGAAAGGGGTAGTGGGAGGGACAGATAAACGGCTCACAAATAAGTCAGTTAGCACCAGGATCTAACTGGACAGTTGCCTGGAACCACTAATTCTTTAAGGAGAGGCAAAAGAAGAGATTGTTCTGGGTATTCTTGCAAAGTCTACACGGTTGTTAGTAACCTGGGGGTTTGCCCCCCTGTAACGAGGAAGCCAACACATTCAAAGATTGTGTCAGTCAGTCAAAATTCATTACTTCGGTTGCCCATGTGGTGGCCAGTTCCTAACAAGGTTCCCCGTCTTACGGTTTCCGTGGTTCTTCGTCTCCTGGTATTTATGTCCTTGTGCAGTGTAACCTCTCACTGAGTTGGGACTGATTCGTATGACCGATGGACTCTGGCACAGTGATGGCTGTGACTCCAGAGGCTAGGTCCGAAGAAGGAGTGCAGTTTCCCCTTGCTCTCTTGGACTGTTCACTCTGAGAGCTTCCAAGGATTAGCCCAAGAAAGAGCATTTCTGGTTTGGGGGAGCAAACTATCAGCTACTGCTCAAAGAATTTAGTCTCCTGTGTTCCTCCTGTTGATTATCACTTCCATCCCTAAACTGGGCCCTAACGGGTCCTCTTCCCAGGAAGCATATAGAAATATGATACAAAAGCAAGAAAGCTTCTTCCCTTGGTTAGACCATACTATTGAAGACAGGCTGAAATTTTAAAAAGGCCGTCTTGGGTAATTACAGAAAACGAAGGGGAAACAAACAGAGAAAAGAAGCACGGAAGCCTTCTGCCTACTACAGGTTATATAATCTCATTTATATTTAATCCCTATAGATGCACGTATATGCATGCAAATGTACAGGATAGTTTGGAGGCTTAGGTGCTCACCTACCATTCCCGGTTACCTGTGGAAGAGCAGAGGTATGGTATGACGCATGTGCGTGGAGAGAAGGAGTGGAAAGAAAAGTGGAGGAGGAAAGTAGACTTGGCTTTTAAAAAAGTCTATTTTGTATTATTTGAAAATTGATGGTGAGAGTATATTTATGAACCACTGTATAATTAAAAATAAACTGCAATATATATAAAAAAAACACCCAGAAGTAGAAGCAATCTGGTTACAACACAAGACACCTCCTATTCTATGAACCTGTTTCTAGGACTGCTGGCCACACCTGCCCTCTCCCCGTGAACCTGAGCTCCTTAGAATGCCACGCTGCAAACCTGCTGGGGTTTCTCCCTTGGCCAGCTTCCACAAGGGATGTGTCCTCCCAAGACTTGCTATCAAAGAGCTGCCTCGGAGATATTAAGTTTGGCAACTTCAAGGCCAATCCCAAGACAGCAGAGTGCTCTGTCTCCTAGTGTATCAATCAACGATGGCAGCATTAGTTCTGGGGAGCAAACCACACCCAAAACACAGTGCTTAAAACAATTCTTTTTCTTCGGGCTGGTGTAGCTCAGTGGATTGAGCGCGGGCTGGGAACCAAAGTGTCCCAGGTTCGATTCCCAGCCAGGGTACATTCCTGGGTTGCAGGCCATAACCCCCAGCAACTGCACATTGATGTTTCTCTCTCTCTCTCTCTATCTCCCTCCCTTCCCTCTCTAAAAAATAAATAAATAAAATATTTAAATAAAAAAAGAAGTTATATACTTAAAAAAAAAACAATCCTTTTTCTTTTTGCCTGTAGGTCACTGGGTCCACGCTGGGGGATGGTTCTAAACCTGCCCCATGCTTCTCATTTTTCTTGGAGCACCGGGACACCTGAGCATGCCCTTCCCACTGCGAAAGGCAGGTGTAGAGAGACACGGGCACAAACGTGCACAACCTCTTAAGGTCAGGCTCAGAACGGTCACACGGTCACTTCTGTGCAAGTTCCTTTGGCCAGAAGCATGTGGAATGGTCTAAGTGCACATCGGTGGAGTGGAGAAACGTTCTCATGAGAGGGACTACAAAGCCCCATTTCAAAGGGCGCGCATGCCGGGACCAGCGCAGAACTGGGAGGAGTCATGTGACCTACCACAGCCATCCACCTGGAACCTTCCAGCTTCCTTGCCCTTGGCTGGAGGGGCAATGCATTTCTGCTTACGGTGGGATCTGCTCCTCACTCCAGGAATCGGGCTTTGTCCCTGCGTGCTCCTGAATACCCCATGTTTTTGTCATGGAGATGCAGAAGCGTTGACCACTAATTCCTTCAAGTATCTAAGTGGACACTGATTCCTACCAGTGACAGGTTATTTGACAGGAAATAGGGGATTAGCAATGCTGCCCTAGAAAAGGTGCTGGGCTTGTAGTATCTTGTTTACTGTGCACTAACGGCTTGAAAGTTACAAATCTATAAATTCTTTAGCCCAAAAGGGCGGCAAAGACTTGTCATGTTTTAGAACTCAGGAATCAATAAAACTGCATTAGAGTTAAGAGGATCTTTTTGACTAACCCGATTTGCTATCCAAGTTTCCCCTTTAAAAGTAAGTCTCTTAATTAAGTCCCCAGAGTTGCTTTTTAAGATAGGAAAGGAAGACTCCCCCCTCCCCCAATAAATAAAGAGGCATTAATAGCTTTAAAAAGGAAAGAGAAGACCATTAAATTCTCAGGTTCTTCGGGGACTTACATCGGTGGGGCCTCCTGTGGTTCTCTGACATTTGAGCCCCATCCTAGGGTTATTTCCACGGTTCCCACGTTACGTTCGAGAGCTACCACTTACATTCCGCAGGGTTTCTCCTCCGCTCATGACCGGTTGTGGAGCAGCCAAGGGTGCCCATAAGTGAAACTGGGGAAGACCGCGCTAGGCCCACCCGAGCGCGGGCTGCAGGGGCCCGAGGGGAGTAGAATCAGTCCCCACGCGCACGGGGCAGTCACTGCTCTTTGTTAAAGAAACAAACACTGTACCAGGGAAGGCGGCGGCAGAAGAGTGTGTGTGTGTTCGGGGCGGGGGGGTGTAGACAGAGGCGTTTGCATGCATTACTGCGCATAAGAAAGATCATTAATGAGGCGCTTCAAACGCAGGACAACCCGGGGCACCGTGTCACTGGCTTTGTGCACTTGAAGGCGGGTGAGAGCGCCTCGCCGCGAGGTTCCCCTTTGTGTGGAAGTGGGGAAACCAAAAACGTGCAGCTGCTGCTGGCTCCTCGTTTTCCGATTGTGGGCGCTCGGTCCAAAACACTCCCGCACGAACCCACTCCCGCATTCTCGCTCCAACAATACTTGCCCCGGAGTTACTTCTCGGTCGCCGGCCGAGCGCGGAGCGACAATGGCTCCGTGCGGGCGCCCGCAGCTCCGGGAGCCGCGCCAAGGGGCCGTCCGCCTCGCTCCGAGGCTGCGCGCTGAGCCCAGCCGCCCGCCCGTCAGCAAACGCGGGCACCAACCGCCGCGCGGCCCGGCCGTTGGGCGGGTGGTAATTTCTGGGAACGGGGCGGGGTCCGCCGGTGTACGAGGCCGGGGCGGGGAGGAGGAGCGGGCGGTGTCGCGGGGCGCGCGCCGGGCTGGGCGGTGCGCCACGAGCGTCAGCGGCCGGGGCGGGGTCCGGGGCGCCGCCGAGCGGGCGGCGTGCCGCTACCCGCCCGCGCCCCCAGCTTTCACTTAGGCTGGCGGAGAAGTGGAGACGGGAGGGACGCGGGCTAGGAGTCCTCCAGCCCCGGCCCCCAGTGACTGACTGTCAGACTGCCCGAGTGCCGGGCCGCGCTGCAGGAGAAGGGCGGGAGCCTAGAGGCGGGGAAGGGGCGCCGGCCCGGCCCGCGGGGGCGCTCCGAGAGTGGCCGGGCTGCGCGCGTGCGGACCCCGCCGGCCGGGAGGCGAGGGCGGGCGCTGCAGGTGCACGCGCGGCCCCGTCGCCCCCACGCGCCCGGGCCGCCGGCGCGTCGGAGCCCCTGCGCCGGGCGGGGAGGCAGAATGGGGGAGTCCCAAGCAGGGCGCGAGACAAGTGGGGAGAGTCATCACCTGAGCGGGCGGCTTTGGGAGAAGTTGGGGGATCGGGGGCGGGCAGGACTCGCGAGCCGCGGAGGCAGGTTTGGGCGGGCTGCCGGGCGCCGAGGGCGGCGGGCCCCGCGGGGTATAAATAGCCGGCCCCGCGTTGACAGGAGCTGCGGCGACTGGCGGGGCCGCCCCCCCGCGCCGCGCGGGGAGGGGAGGAGCGCGCGGGGCGGGCGGGGTGGGGGAGGCGGACTCAAGTGTCCTGGCGGCGGCGGCTGGAGGCCGAGGGGGAGGAGCCGACCGGGGGCTGGAGGGAGGGGAGCGGGCCGAGGGCGGGGGCCACCATTGCTCCCCGCGCCGGGCTCTGTGTCGCGGCCGTCGCCTCGGCGGTTGGGGGTCTGTGGGGCGGCGCGGGCGGGGGGCGCTGCGCGGGGCGGCGCGCGCTGTTTTGTCTCCACCTCTCCCAGCGGAGCGGCTCGGGCTGCCGGGAGGCCCCGGCTCCCTCCGGACGCCCGGCCAGCGGCGGCCGCGGCGGCGGCGGCGAGTCCGCGGCCCTGCCGGGAGGGAGAGCGACGCCGCCGTCTTCCCGGGCGACGCGGAGAGAGCAGGTAAGAGCGCGGGCTGCCGGGGCCGTGGGAGGGAGCGCGGAGGGCGCGGCGAGGGAGCCTCGCCGTCCCGAGTGCCGCCGCCTCCCTCCGCGTCCCCTCCCCGCGCCTGTGTTGTTTGCGCCGCGGTTTGCGAAGGGGTTTTCCGGAGGCTGTGGCCGTGACACCGGCCGGGCGCGGGGGCAGGGGGCTGGCGCCCTCGGGCAACGGTCGGGGAGCGGGACCCGGAGAAAGGGGAAGGCGCGCTGCGCGCCGGCCCGCGGGCAGTGCGGGGCGCGGGGCCGGGCGGGGGGAAGAGGTTACGGACCCCGGCGGGGGGGATGGGCCGCGCGCAGCTGGGCTCGCTGTGTTTACATCTCCGCGCGAGTCACCTCTGCCGAGAAGCGGACTGAGCTGACCCGCCTTCTCCCGCGGGGAGGCCAGGGCGGGGGTCCGGCTCCGGAGGAAGCGCGTCCTGGGAGGGTCCGGTAGGGCGGGAGGCAGCGGCCGGCGCCGGGGCAGGGCGGTCAGCTCGGGGCGGGACCTGGGAGGCTGCGGCCGCTCGGGGTGGCGTGTGGGGCTGGGGAGCAGCTCCCTTCCCCGCGGGCCCGACCGCCGCCTCCCACCTCCCCTTCCCCGGGCCGCTCGCTGGCTCGCTGGCTCGCTCGGCAGGTTGTACTTGGTCGTTCTTTTATTCTCGCGCTCCGCGCCGGCCCCCTGCGGCCACTTTCCCCTACTCCCCGCGGGCAGGGAGGCTTGGCTCTGTTAGGAGTCTGTTTTTAAACACAACAGAAACGGGCTCCGCCACACGCGTCCAGCGACGGCCTTCTGGAGCCTCCCTCCGCCGGGCCGGCCCTCGGGGACCGAGCTCCGGGCTGTTGTGGCGGGGCGCGCGGGCCGCTCGCGGAGGGCTCGGCGGGGCTGGCGCCGCCTGTCCCCGCAGCTCCGCGCGCAGGGCGGCGAGCCCCTCGGGTGCTCGGGCTGGGCGTTGTATCCCAGCAAAGCACGGAGAACACACGCCACGCCGCCAAGAGTGACCCAGGTTGCCCGGTTTCTAATGTTTCCCGTGAGCCAGCATCCTGGGCTCTTTCTCGAGGAGCTGGGTTGGCTGCAGAACACGCAGCCTTGAAGTTGGGAGCGCTCGCCGAAATGAATGAGGGGGCAGTTCGTTGTAAAACCGGAGGGAGCGTGTCCCTCCCTCCGTGTGTTCTTGAACCTTGACTTCGGCGGCGCGGTTTAAATTTTAATCCGGCGAGCAGAGAGCAGTCCTCGCGTGTTGGGCGATCAGACTCGCTCTCCTCGTTATCTGGGAGTCTCTGTGGAGAGGTAGACGCAGCGCCCTCTCCAGCGCCGTGGTCGCGGGAGGGTGACAGAACCGCAGGAGAATGTCTGTGCCCTCCTCGGGACTGGGCGTTTCTGTTCCAGAGTTTCTTCCTGTGCTCGGAAGGCAGAACGATCCGAGGTGGGACTGGAATGATCCTACGTAATGCTGGTCCATTAGGTCGGAAGGAATTTTAGGAGTAACTGAAGTTTGTGATGTAGTGCACCGCAGTTTGTTCGCACGGCGTGTTCGCGGGAATGTCACCGAGGAAGCTGGGAGAAAGTGGAACTGCCTTGGGCAGCTGGAATTTGAGTATTTTAACGTCAGCCTCTTTTGAAGCCTAGTGACTCAATTGATTAACCATTGCTTCTCATTCCAGACACACACACACACACACACACACTCTCTCTCTCTCTCTCTCTCTCTCTCTCTCTCTCTCTCTCACAAAGTCAGAGTTTTGTTGGAAAGAGTTTGTAACTTTGGGGTTTTTCTGTTGTCAGTCAGGAGACTGGTGATCGGGGCTGTGTCAGGGCCTACCCGTGTTGGTGGCCTTGACCGCCTCCCAGGTGGCACACCCAGGGTTTTTTTTTTTTTTTTTTGGTAAGAGCTTTATTGAGATATGATTCACATGCCACTCAGTTCATCCGTTGAAAGTATGCAGTTCAGTGATTTTTAATATATTCACAGAGTTGGGCCAGCAGCGATCACCATGATCAGTGTTCCAACAGTTTCGTCGCCCCACAAAGGCCCCGCGGAGGCGGTAGGCACCGCTGATCTACTACTTTCTGGCTGTAGATTTGCCTGTTCTGGGCATTTTAAAGAAAGATTTTATTTATTTATTTTTAGAGAGAGGAGAAGGGAGGGAGGAAGAGAGGGAGAGAAGCACCAATCAGTTGCCTCTTGCACGCCCCACCGCAACTCCGGCATGTGCCCGGACCCGGAATCGAACTGGCGACTCTGTGGTCGCAGACTGGTGCTGCACCCACCGAGCCACAGCAGCTGGGGCTGTTCTGAGCATTTTATATGAATTGAATCACACAATATATGATCTTTTGTGACTGGTTTCTTTCGCTTAGCGTAACGTTTTCAAAGGACACTCGTGTCGTAGCATGCCATCTTTTCATTGCTTTTTATTGCTGAGTAATATTCCATTGTATGCGTATACCACACACTATTTATTAATTAGTTGATAGACATTTGAGTTGCCACTCTTTAGCCACTATGAATAATGCTGCTAATGAGCATTTATGATCAAGTTTTTGTGTGGACATGTTTTAATTTCTCTCGGATATGTACACTTAAGATAATCAGCTTTTTGGTTTTTTTAAAAAGATTTTACTTACTTTTAGAGAGGGGAAGGGAAGGAGAAAGAGAGGGAAACATCAATGTATGTGGTTGCCTCTTGCATGCGGGATACTGGGGACCTGGGCCGCAACCCAGGCACATGCCCTGACTGGGAATCCAACCGGCATCCCCTTGGTTCCCAGGCCGGCACTCAATCCACTGAGCCACACTAGCCAGGGCATTTTTTTGAGTTATTTAATATAAAAAATTAATCCATTTTAAATGTGCAATTCAATGATTTTTAGTGAATATATAGAAGTATTAAACTATCACCACAAGCCAGTTTTACAAGATTTCTGTCACCTCCAAAAATTCCCTCTAGCCTGTTTGTACTTAGCCCTTATTCTCACCCCTTAGTCCCAGGCAACCCCTGATTTGTGCTTTGTCTACAGATTTGCCTTTTCCGTTTTTTTTTGTTTTTGGTCATCACCTGAGGACATGTTTATTGGTTTTAGAGAGAGGGGCAGGGAGGGGGAGAGAGAGGGAGGGAGAGGAGCATCCGTGCAAGAGAGAAACATGGATTGGTTGCCTCTTGCACATGACCCGACCGGGGACCAAACTTGCAACCTAGGCATGTGCCCTGACTGGGAATTGAACCCACAATTATGTAAATGGAATCGTACCATATGTAGTCTTTTGCATCTGGCTTCTTTCACTTGCACTATTTTTGGAGTTTGTACTTATTGTAACATGTATCAGTACTTTGTTTTTTCTTTTATTGGTGACTAGTATCTTATTGTGTAGCTGTGCAACATTTTATCCGTTGACCAGTTGATGGGCCTTTGGATTGTTTCCAGTGTTTGACTGTTGCAAATAATGCTGCTTGAACGTTTGAGCACAAGTATTTATGTGGACATATGGTTTCATTCTCTTGGGTAGATACCTAGGAATAGAAATGCTGAGTCATCTGTTTAAATTTTTTTTTAAAAACCGGCCATTCATTTTACATCTGTAACAGCAATGTATGACAGAGTTCCAGCTTCTCCACGTTCTTGCCAATGTTTGTTATTGTCTTTAGTTTTAATCACAGCCATTCTAGTGGGTATGAATGAAATGGTTAACCCATTGTGGTGGTTGTAACTTACATTTTCCTAAAGACTCAAGGTGTTGAGCATTTTTTCATCTGATTATTTGCCACTTATATATCCTTTTTGGTGAAACAGATATTCAAATCTTTTGCCTGTGTTTTGTCTGTCTTACTATTATTGAGTTGTAGCAGTTCTTTATATGTTCTGGGTTTAAGTCCCTTTTAGATACATGATTTGCAAACATTTTATCTCAGTCTGTGGCTCGTCTTTTCATTTTTTTATTACAGTCTTTTGAGGCATAAGAGTTTTAATTTCTTGCCCTGACTGATGTGTCTCAGTGGACTGAGTGCCAGCCTGTGAACCAAAGGGTCACTGGTTTGTTTCCCAGTCAGGGCACAGGCCTGGGTTGCAGGCCAGATCCCCAGTGTGGGGCGCACATGAGAGGCAACCACACATTGATGTTTCTCTCCCTTTCTTTCTCCTTCCCCTCCCCTCTCTCTAAAAATAAATAAATAAAATCTTTTTAAAAAGTTTTCATTTCTTTTGGCAAAAAATTTCCATTTTGATGAAGTTTAATTTTTCAGTTTTTTTATTTTATAGGTTAATCTTTTGTTGTCATAAGAACTCTCAGCATAATTCAAAGTCCTGAGGATTTTTCTCCTTTGTTTTCTTCTAGATGTTTTATTGTAGTTTTTGCTCTTATATTTAGGTTTATGATCTATTTTGCATTAATTTTTATATATGCTGGGAGATAAGGGTCTAAGTTCATCAGTTGCATATGGATTGTCTTAGCACCATTTGTCGAAAAAGACATTTCTCCACTGATGGTAAATGTAGAGATCTTCTGCACTCTGAATTTTTTTCCTTTTCTATTACCTGTATGTCTTGTCCGTGTGCCATCACCACCCTGTCTTGGCTGATGTGCTTCATGATACCTTACGAGACCAGGCAGTGTTAGCCCTCCAGTTTTGTACTTGTTTTTAAAAACTGTGTCAGTTCTGTGTCCCGTAGAAAAAGGTTTGGCTTGTCAATGTCTGCAGAGAGCTCCTGGGATTTTGATGGGGAATGCATTGTGTATGCAGATGAATTTGGGGAGAATTGCTGCCTTACAATATTGAATTTCCTAATACATGAACACGGAAATTTCCATGTTTTGAGTGATGTGTTCTAGTTACACAAGCCTTCTACTTAAAAAATTATTTTGTTGTGGTAAGAACACGTAGCATGAGATCTATCCTCTTAACTTTCTAAGGGTGCAATACAGTACTGTTAAGTAGAGGCACAGCGTTTTATAGCAGATCTCTGTATTTGGGAGATTCCTTTTTAATCCT